ACTCCCCGTGGGGAGCACCGGTTCTTTTCGTGAAAAAGAAAGATGGGACACTTCGAATGTGCATTGATTATCGTCAACTGAACAAGGTCACAATCAAGAATAGGTATCCCTTGCCTAGGATTGATGACTTGTTTGACCAACTACGAGGAGCAACTGTGTTCTCGAAGATTGACTTGAGGTCGGGGTACCATCAATTGAAGATCAAAGAGGATGACATACCGAAGAGTGCCTTCCGCACTAGGTATGGACATTTTGAGTTCCTTGTTATGTCGTTTGGGTTAACAAACGCCCCGGCGGCATTCATGGACTTGATGAACCGAGTATTCCACAAATACTTGGACCGATTCGTGATAGTGTTCATAGATGACATCTTGATCTACTCAAAAAGCGAGGAAGAGCATGAGGAGCACCTGATACTCGTCCTTGAGACGCTACGGGAGAAGCAACTCTATGCCAAGTTTTCTAAATGTGAATTTTGGCTTAAGGAGATTGGCTTTCTCGGGCATGTGGTTTCGGGATCGGGAATTGCTGTGGATAACAAGAAGATAGAAGCCATTACCGAATGGGAGAGGCCAAAGAATGTCAAGGAAATTCGTAGTTTCCTTGGATTGGCAGGCTACTACAGGAAGTTCGTGGAGAAGTTCTCTGTTTTGGCATCGCCATTGACAAAGCTCACTCGAAAAGGAGCTAAGTTTGTATGGGATGACAAATGTGAGAAGGGATTCACGGAATTAAAGAAGAGATTGACCGAGGCACCGGTACTTGCCTTACCCAAACAGGGTATGGGGTACGATGTCTATAGTGACGCTAGCATCCAAGGGTTTGGATGTGTGTTGATGCAAATGGGGAGGGTAATTGCCTATGCTTCACGACAATTGAAGAAACATGAGGTAAATTATCCTACTCATGATTTAGAGCTGGGGGCAGTGGTATTTGCACTGAAGATTTGGAGACATTATCTCTACGGGGAGACGTGTCATATATACACTGACCATAAGAGTTTGAAATACGTGTTCACTCAGAAAGAGCTGAACATGAGACAGAGGCGATGGATGGAGTTGATAAAAGACTACCATCTTATCATTGAGTACCACCCAGGCAAGGCCAATGTGGTGGCAGATGCCTTGAGCCGGAAGAGCTCATCTGGGGCATTGATAGCTAATTTGAGGGCTTTAAGAGCCCAACTGGAGGTATCCAGCAATGGAGCCTTATTGGCACGGTTTGAGGTGAGACCTACTTTAATTGATGAGATCAAGAAGGGTCAGGAAACTGACGAGGAAATCATGAGGATCCGGGAGCGCATGCAAGCGGGACCAGTGGAGGACTTCAGGGAAAGAGATGATGGTCTCTTACTATTTCGCGAGCGAGTGTGTGTGCCGGCAGGTGATGAGCTCCGAAAGTCCATCTTAGAGGAAGCTCATTCATCGGCTTACGCCATGCACCCGGGGGGCACGAAGATGTACCGCGACTTGAAAGAGAGTTACTGGTGGTCTGGTATGAAGAGAGAAATAGCCGAGTACATCAGTAGATGCCTTACTTGTCAGCAAGTTAAGGCAGAACATCAGCATCCAGCTGGGTTATTGCAGCCACTTTCCATTCCAGAATGGAAATGGGAGCACGTGACCATGGATTTTGTGGTAGGACTGCCACGGACCGTGAGGAATTATGATGCGGTATGGGTTGTGGTTGATAGGCTCACGAAGAGTGCACATTTTCTACCTATCAACACTACCTATGCACTTGAGAGGTTAGCCAAGTTGTATGTGGATGAGATTGTGAGGCTACATGGGGTTCCTATAACCATTGTGTCCGACAGGGATCCACGATTCACATCACGATTTTGGCCGAAGTTCCAAGAGTCCATGGGAACGAAGTTGAAGTTCAGTACTGCTTTTCATCCTCAGACAGATGGGCAATCCGAGAGGGTTATACAGATCTTGGAGGATATGTTGAGGGCTTGTGCTTTGGAGTTCCAAGGAAGTTGGGACAACCATTTAGCACTTGTTGAGTTTGCCTATAACAACAGTTATCAGGCAAGCATCGGCATGCCTCCATACGAAGCATTGTATGGGAGGAAATGTCGTACACCGTTGTGTTGGGACGAGGTTGGCATGGCCAAGCTCGAGAGCACGGAATTGGTGGAGATCACCAAGTCAAAGGTAAAGATAGTTCGAGAGAGGCTTAAGGCGGCCCAGGATAGACAGAAGAGTTATGCCGATAAACGCCGAAGAGCCTTGGAATTCAAGGTGGGAGATGAGGTATTCTTGAAAGTTTCGCCTTGGAAAGGAATCATCCGATTCCAAAGCCGAGGAAAACTTAACCCACGATACATTGGGCCATTTGTAATTCTTGAGAGGATTGGGGCCGTAGCATACCGATTGCAGTTGACTCCAGAGTTGGAGAAGATACATAACGTGTTCCACGTGTCTATGCTAAAGAGATATGTGCCGGATCCGTCTCATGTGTTAGAGAAACCACCTGTGGAAATACGGGAAGACTTGAACTATGTCGTTCGACCGGTAAGAATACTTGATAGGCAAGTAAAGAAATTAAGAAGCAAGAAAGTGCCGATGGTTAAAATCCTTTGGAAAAGTGACCGAGTTGAAGAAGAAACTTGGGAAACGGAAGCCTTAATGAAGGAACAATACGCATTTTTGTTTGAGTAAGCATTTGTGAATTTCGGGGACGAAATTCCCGTTAAGGGGGGGTGAACTTGTGACACCGCACCCGAATGTACTTGAATTTGAAAGTGGATATGTATTGAATTTTCTAGCGAATAAAATTCGTGTAATTAATTGGCATATTTAATTAATGTGCGATTAATCAAATTATTTATCGGGTCCGTTAAATGTGAATGGACTACCAAATATTTAGTTGGGTTATCGTAATAAATTATAGGGGTCCAATAAAACGCCAACCGAAGTTGATAAAAATATTTGGACAACCCGAGTGCTATTTTGGCCCAACCTACCGAAAATAGCAGGAATAATTGGGAGAAACTTCCTGCACCCACTTGGGGTATTTTCTACACCAACTAGTCTCAAATAATAGGGAGAAGAAGCAACCGAACATGGCTGGTACGTGTGAATGTAAGGGGGAAGTCTCATTGAGACAAAACCCATACCTCATGTCCAATCCCTCCCCATATTTTGTCTTGGGTGAGAGGAACCCCTCCTCTACCACTTGGGCAATCATTCGAACAAGACCAAGGGAAGAGGAGCATTGGCAAAACACTTCTCCCACAGACCATAACTTGAAGGAAGCAAGAAGAAAGAAATCCAAGTAGAAAGCTAGCTCTAAGGAAGGTAAGAACTCACTTATCTCCTTTAACTAGTATTATTTTTGTATGATTTTTAAGAAATCATATGGTGGATTAAACATGGAGTTCTACACGTTTAAAAGTGTAGAATAATGTTATAAAGTGGTGGTAATTAACTTAGAAGAATCGTGGAATCGATAGGAGTTGATATCGCCGGAAACCGCCACCTGAAGGAAGCTGTTCGTAGCTGCAGACTACGAAAGCCGCCCGGCTTTGGGTGAAAGCCGCCCGGCTTTGGGCTACTGTCCAGGATTTTTGCCTTCAATCGGCCTAGAACGGGGATTGATCGAGGGGCTTAGCAAAGACAACTATTGTAGCACATCACAAGGTGAGGATGGCTGACTATATTGCTTATAATCTTTGGGTTAATTTCATAAGATTACCTAAAGAAATTAAATGTGATTTTCATGGATTATTAATGATTAATAATGCCTAAATGAAAATATCATTGTTTGTGAATAGAAGATGCATAACATACAAATTTATGAGAAATTGTGTATGATGATGCATAATAAATGTGAAGGTATAATGATTGTATAAACCATGAGTTTTTGTGATAAAATATACTTTTACTTCATGTATAGAAATCATGAATGGATAAAAGTGATATTTTTGATATTGAGATTAAATCGTATACGGATTAGAAAATCCATAGGAATGAGCCTTATAACTATGAGTTAAGGAGCTTGGGCTGTTTAAAGATTTATGGATTAGTATTTAATTTACTAATCGGGAATGTTGTATAAAAAGTGATAGAACAATCCTAAGGACTTGGATTGTGAAGGATGCACCTTAAGTAGTCTTATGAGATGCCTTAAGGTAGGAAGGGGTAACCACTAAGTTACATTAGGAGTAGGCCTCATTGGCTACTCAAGATTGAGGAACTCTAGGCATAGAATTTGCTAGTGAATTAGTATCGTGACTAGAGGAAGCCTCTAGCACGATGAAGAATGACTGGAGGAAGCCTCCAGCATTCGTGTAGGATGACTAGAGGAAGCCTCTAGCATAATGTAATGTGACTGGAGGAAGCCTCCAGCACAAAGTATGTAAGGTGATTAGAGGAAGCCTCTAACACCGAATTTAGTGACTAGAGTAAGCCTCTAGCACGGTAAAACATGACTAGAGGAAGCCTCTAGCATGGTGAATTAATATAGATGGGCGTGGCTTGAAGTCACGGGGAAAGGGTTGAACGTTTTTAAAGAAAAACATGGGTCTTCGGGCCGACTACTTGACTTTATATATAAAGTAAGTATATTTTCAAAGAGGGTAACCACGGGTTATGACCTATATTATATTATCACCCTATGTGAGGGTCTTGGAAATTGAAACTTTGATTATACTTAGTATAGTTGTCATTGTACTTGTCAAATGCTTCCAAGTACTGACCTCCCCTTCACGGGGGAGGCCACCTCACAGTTTCAGGTAGGACTTGAAGGTTGCTACCGCCGCCGTTGTTTCGGGGAGATTCAAGGGAGGAGACGTGGTTCGTGCTTCTTCCGTTCCTGTTTTGAAAACATTTTAAACATTGCTCATGGATATTATTTTTGAATAATTATTTGGGGGCTTGTATGCCCATGTTAGCCAAGTGTGGCATAAACACTTTATTAAATGTTTCCGCTGCTTTAATTAATTATTTCACATTATGATTGTTTATGGATGTACTATTGTGAATGGTATTCAAGACGCCTTGTATAGTATGGATGAGTTGGACTGCGGTTGACTATTCGTACTGTACGGCGGGTTGTTGACGTGTCCGGGTAGGTCCGGGGCGTGACATTTGTTCTACGCCAGCAGACCAGAAGAGGCGTTAAAAAGGCAAGAAATCTAGGGGATGCATTAAGAGGCTACATTCATCCGGTAGAACTGATTGTGCAAGGATACCTCACAAAATGGTAACTATTATATTTATCACTAATTCAGCCATACCTTTGCAACCTTTTGTTTTTCACAGAATGCTTGTGTACGCTTCAGGTTTTAAAAAAATATTGGGCATGTTAACGTTTCATGTTCTGCCAATTTCCATTATTATTGTAGGAATATGAATCTCAGTGTTCTGATTTCGTGGTGTATATGATATTTTCAAGAATAAAAGATGATCTACTTATTTTATAAAGTGGCTGTTACCATCTCTACACAAACCAGAAAACTTTACCATAAATAATCTACATTGAAATCTCTCTTGAAATGATAATGCACACCCTTTTCTATTGTTGTGTGTTTATAGAAAAAGGAGAGTCTTACCGGGGACGTCAATAGAACTGAACTATATTTGGTCACACATGCTAGAAAGGTTGGTTCTACTTCCATGAGCACAAGCGAAGGCTTGGTAAGTTTAACATTTGTATAAAGCTTATAATTAATTAGTTATTGAAAGATCTTTTGGCTACACTTAAATCAGTTAAATGTGTGAGTAAATCTTATTAGTGGCATCTTACAGGACCAAATAAGATAGCTTGTAGCTGATAATCCATACTTGGGACAAAAAGATTTGGATCATGATGCCGTTGCGATGGTTTGTGAAGTTACAGTTTTTGGTTTATATTATGATGCACCTGTATTTGTTTAATGGATAACATTATCAACAGAAGATGCATTTCTATCTCAGGTATGTGGGATTGATGGAAAGGGTTATGTGCGTGGTATGGGTGGAGGTGTTACAAAGACTGAGATACGTGCTTCAGGTCCTTCTAGAGAAATTGCTCGCAAAGAAAAGCAACAACACGAAATGGTTAGCAATGAAATACAAATACTTAGAGAAGAAGTAGCCACATTGAAGCAACTGGTACAAACTAACACAACCAGATCTTCTGAGCAGTCTCAAGAGTTCTGTAATACTACTCGGGTAAAATAGTTTGCTAATTAACTAATTAAAAAATTCACTACAGGCACAACCTCATGCATATGCCGTTGGATATAGACCTCTGTGGTTTCTATATATAAAAATATTCATATCCCGTAAAGTCCTGCCCATGTTCTCTTACAAATTGTAGAGTCTAGACTAGTTTGTTTGTTCTTTACTAGCCTTAGTTCTAGATAATATCTTTTACTCTATGCAATTGTAATTGTCCCTTTTGTGCTAGAACTTTTCTCTTAAAAAACTTTCAAAATAAAAGTTTCTGAATTGTAGAGGTAATCATTGAGCTTTCTTCCTCTAATGCTTTTAGTAATCATTGATTATGAATACACACATATCTGATTTTTTATTTGTGTTTTAATATGTATTTACAGTTTTTGGTGGATGTTGTTTGACTGCTATGCAGGTCAATGTGTATCACTACGTATTTTGCAAATATTAAGTTCCACTGTAATGCATTTGGAATATTAATTGACTCAGTACATGTATTTCGGCTAATTTGTTAGTTAATTTTTAAAGCAATATTACTAATTAATGTTTTCTAATGATTATAGGGAGGTGAATCTGGCCTCACTACAAAGTCTACAAGGGCATGTTTTTTAAAAAAACTTAAGGAAAAAGGTCATTCCTTATGGACGCCATAATGAGGAAGCTCCACCAAATGAAGAAGTTTATAGTATCATTATTGATGAAATATTTGATGGTACTGGTTCCTATATGACAGAGATGAAAGGTTTGAAGACATATTGATCGGTGAGCTCATCAATTGGCCAAAAGCAAATGTCCACTTTACGAGGATCAATTAATGTCTTTTTGTGCTACTTTTGCTCATGTTTAGTTAGCTTGTTCCGAGACTACTTCAATATTAGTTCAAAAGTTAATTTGGATCATGTGGTTAGTTGAACTTGATGATCAAAGGATTTTAGACATCACATAATTTTGGTTGAGTTTTTTGCAGATGAATGGAAATTATATCACTTTATTTCTGTTCTCCTAAGATTTGTGGTTGAGCTTTATTGTTGGTGTGTATGATAAATAAAATTAAAGTACATGTTAGTAGAACAAAAAATGAACAATATTATAAACTATCTTCGACTTACATTTAAGGTCGTTAAACTATGATGGCTTAAAGCAGTCGTTGTTCACAATTTGATATCAACAAGCGAAAGAAGTCGATTTGTTTTTTGACTCTTTTTTTTTCGACACCCACTTCGACGGATCAAAACTGTCGAAAATACCATTTTTCGACTGTTTTTACAAGTTGAAAAAGGTCAGTTTTGGCGTAGTGAGATGTGAGTATGTAGGATCCTTACCTGTCCATAGCCTCTCTGGAACTTCAAAGTTCAGTGGTACTGAAGGTGATCGGTTGATAAGATAGCATGCAGTGTTGACTGCTTCTCCCCAGAATGACTTCGGAAGTTTAGCCATATTCAGCATGCTCCGGACACGCTCCATGATAGTTTGGTTCATTCTTTCAGCAACGCCGTTGTGCTGAGGGGTGCGTGGTACTGACTTCTCATGTCGAATGCCATATTCTCTGCAATATGCATCGAACGCCTTGGAAGTATACTCGCCTCCATTATCAGATCAGAGACATTTCAACTTCTTTCCTATTTCACGTTCCACCAAGACGTGAAATGTCTTGAAGCTCTCGAACACCTGATCCTTCGTAATCAGGAAATACACCCACACTTTCCGAGAAGCATCATCGATAAAAGTCAGAAAATATCTGCTTCCACCGATTGATTCCACCTCGAAAGGACCACAGACACCGGAGTGTACCAAACTTAACAACTCAGATCTTTTAGTTGAAGTAGAACTAAATGATACTCTATGTTGCTTACCAAACAGACAATGACTGCTAGGACCCAGTGTAGCGTTCTTGTCGATGTTGATAAGGTTCTTCTTCATCAAGGTAGTCAACCCTTTCTCACCGATGTGACCGAGTCTCAGGTGCCACAAATTCTGAGAAGTCTCCTCAGCAATATTGAGGCTATTCGTACAAATCCTCAAATGGGTTTTGTACAATGTGCCACAAACATGTCCTCGAGCGATTGTCAAAACGCCCTTTGACATTTTCCAGGTGCCCCTGTTAAAGTGGTTTTCATACCTTTGTTCGTCAAGACATACCACTGACAGGAGATTGAGGCGAAGGTCTGGAACATGTCTGACATCCTTCAAAGTGATTGTGCTCCCAGTACTCGTCTTTATTTGTACATCACCAATTCCAGCTATTCTAGAGGAACTAGAATTGCCCATCTTCACTGCTCTAAAGTCTCCAGCTTTGTAAGTTGTGAAGTAGTACCTGTGGGGAGTAACATGGTAGGATGTTGCAGTATCTACCACCCATTCAGTGTCCTCTCTTGAGACGTGAAGGCATGTTTCATCATTGATAGTACAATACGCCACATCACCTGAGATTGTGATGAGCGCTTCACCACCCTTGTTCTTCGCTTGAGAATTGTTCTTGCCTCGCTCCTCTAGCAATTTGTAGCAATTCTTCTTCATGTGACCCTCTATACCGCAATGGTGGCAGGTATAAGAAGGTTTTCGGCCATCCGATGATCTCCCCCGACTTTTGCCTCTGCTTTGCCACTTTCCTCTACTGTTTCTTTGTTGCTTTCCGTGTGGTCTTCCTCGATTCTCCGTCACAAGGGCATGAGTCTGATCTGTGCTCATGTCTTTCCTTCTTGCCTCCTCATTGAATAATGCATCCTTGACCACGGACATGGTAAGTTTGCCATCTGGAGCTGAATTGCTGAGAGTAACAACTAGTGTCTCCCAACTATCAGGAAGGGAACTAAGAAGTAGTAGAGATTGCATTTCATCTCCAAGTGGCATTTCTACACAAGATAGTTGATTTACCAGACTTTGAAATTGACTAGTATGTTCGGCAACAGAAGTTCCACTTTTGAGCTTCATATTGACAAGGCGCCTCATCGGTAGGGCCTTGTTCCTAGCGGTCTTGGCCTGGTACATATCTTCTAACTTCTTCCAAATGGCATAAGCATCGGTTTCTTGTGCAACATGGTGGAATACACTATGATCAATCCATTGTCGGATTTGACCAATAGTTTTTCTATTAATTATCTTCCACTCCGTTGACTTGGGCGGGTCAGGATAAATACCTTTCATCTCTATTGGATCAAAAAGGTCTTTACAGCTAAGGAAATCTTCCATCCGAGGTTTCGATGGCGTGTAGTTGGTAGCCGTGAGCATAATCATAGCTCCGGAAGATGAAGTTGACTCGTCAAAGGTCATTTTCACCTTCTAAATAATTTTGATTTTCTGTTTCAAAAAAAAATCGGAGCAGAATTTCAAAAAACGGGCAGCACCGTTGCGTCCGGAACGGCTGAAAATGGTGTGTAGGCACTTTCGGGGTCAAAATACAATTTTCGAAAAATTATAGGTGGAAATTATAATTTTCCAAAAATTGAGGGACCAAACTGAAAATTTTCAAAATTATAAACTGACCGGTAACGTGGCAGATGACGTGGCAGTGACGTGGCGCTGACTGTGCGTTGACGTGGCAGCTGACTGGGCGCTGGTGAAAGATGACAGTGGACTGATGACGTGGCGGCTGACTGTGCTGGGACTGTACTCGTGGCGCTGACTCGTGGCGCTGACGCAGCTCTGGATGGCTGATGATGTCAAGGATGACGTCAGCCGTCTTCTACCTCTGGACTACGCGTACTGCGCGTGATGACGCAGACAGTTTTTCGCCGGCGTTTGGCGGCGCGTACGACAGCTTCTGGTGGCCAAAAAATTCCAAAAAAAAAATTCAGTTTTCTCGTCTCGACGAGACAAATCCAACGGTATATTCAAATTGCAATTCCGAGCAATACTGAAAAACTCGATTTTTCAGACAGTAGAATTTGTCTAAAAAAAATCTGGGAAAAATATCAAAAGCTCAACCTGGCTCTGATACCACTTGTTGGGAATAACAGGATCGTGCTAATATGAGAGAAAAACACTTCTATTACTTTCAAGAATAGAAAGAAGAGACATACAAGCTCTAACAAAAAACTCTCAAAAACAACACCTCACATATCTCTCAAGGATATTCACTACACTCTTGGTTGTGCTATGATGATCTATTCTAATTTTCTTGATGATAGAAAGACTCTCCAAGCTCTCTGATCTATTTATAGTACCAAAACAAGGTAGTATGAAGGTGAGAGGAAGGTGGGATTAAACATGAGGAAACTTAAATGGTGGTTGAGGATGCTCCCTTTGTCATTCTTGCACATGGAGGAAGCTTCATGGTTGTTGCTTTCACATGTAGGAAGCTTCATGGTTGTTGCAATTGAATTCTTCAAATGGATACATGGGTAGGAGATTAATATATACGGACTACGGAGTACTCCGTAGTTTGTTTTATTTTTAATTACTAGCTAGTATATATTTCAACTGAATGAGCGTGCTAGCTAGCTAATACGTAGATAGTATTACGTTTTTTTGGAAGAGATAGTATTAGTGTATTACGTTATGTATTAGTTTTAATTTATTCTATTTGGCTGCTTTAATCAATCAAGAATATCGATCTTCAAGTTCTTCTTTAATCTTTGAGTAACATTTCATTTGCAGCGCCCTAGCTAGTTTCTTGATAAATGACAATCAACTTTGACCAATAATATCTTTTAATACAAAATTATTTAGAATGTGAAAGTTATATCAAAATGTTTCTTATTCAAAATATTTTCATAATTAGGTCCATCATTCTCAAAGCTAAGAGCATCATTAGAGCATCTTTAACGTGCGTTCGACTCCAAAGAATGCATTGCCACGTGAATGAAATTGAGGAAAAAGTTAAAAAACCATCTCCAACGCAGATATCCGTATGAGAAGTGGGGTTGAGCTGGCATTGTAAAATATGCACACCGTGAGTTTGGGTTTCTGATTTCAGAAAGCCTCTTAGAGGCTATGACTCAGCAAATTAATACGGAACTTTATCTTAATTCAATTTAATTACAATTCTTTTTTATTTTGCAGCAATAAAAGTAATTAAAAAAAGGAGGACCGCCAAAAAGTCCATGATTGCATTGGAGAATGAATTTTAGTTTAGCCCTCTATTTGCTCAACTCTGTGCTACATCATCGTTAACGGCTTGTTTAACTAGTGATGTGTCCACATTTTAACCTCTTCAATCCACATTTCCATTGAAGATGCTCTTAGTGAGAGCATGGATCGTTTAAAAGTGCATTGCCACATCACAAAATAGACATTGAAATTATATTTTACTCTCCAACGGAAATGTGAGCATGGACTCCCTTGCTGAGTTGGAGTTGAATTTGTCCCACGATGTCTACTCCTCCGTCTAATTTGAGAAGGCCTTCTAGCATGCTGACTCATCAAATTTTTATTTCTCACATTTGTTTTTGACGGCAAGTCGGCAATCTACGGCAGTTTCTTTTTCTTTTTGCAAGAGAACCTACGGCACTTTCTATATCGTGAGATATACAAGAGTTTAATTCAATACCGCATTGGAGCTTAAATATTATGTTAAATGTGTATCTATCCACGTCAGCTTCATAGATCGTCTATTTTGATGACATGTCCATTTTTCAAGGGGTGCAATTCACATTCCTACTAAAGATGCTCTAAGCTAGCTACCGCACTTTTTGCTTGCTTAAGTCGCGCGTAGATTTTGCTTCAAAGTTTTTAGCTTAGTGATTTCGGATCGGCTTGTGCGTTAGTTAGTTTCATCACGAGGCTTGCTTTTTTCTCTACCCGCTTTCTCACAACATTTTCATTTTGTTGTCTAAGCGTGCTTTTCATTTCTTAAAAGTGTGCTTTTATATTTGGAAGTTTAATTTCTTGAGGTGTGTTATAATCCTCGCAAAGCCTCCAAAATCTGATTGTCTTTAGTTCCTACAAACTCTACACAAACAAAGTTGTTACACAACTTCCTTCTGTATTTCCATAC